TGCTAAAAAGCCAGATTCCATACCCAGCGAAACTCGCAGATCTACAGCAAAGACAACTTTGCCCTGGAGATCGGGGATCCACCTGCTGTACCATCTGGTCACACAAATCTGCCGTAAAAAGGGGTGCCAAATAGACATTCTTCTGCAGCTTTGCAGCAACTCTTTTCCTCCAGAGCCTGAGACCGGGGCTCCGCGGGCTCCGCGGGCTCAGCGGCCTCAGAGATGGGCTCCTCGCAAAGGAAGGCCTCAAGAATTTACCAAAAAAGTGAACAGCGTCAGGCTTTTGGCTCAAAGTCTAGGGCTAAGATAGGGTTTTCGCAACCGATTCCTTTCAGGATTTGATGTTCAGCGTTGGAGATCGAACTTCTTTGCAGGAACTTGGGAAAGGCCTCAGCAATGAATCTGAATACGCAAGCATTAGTGTCGAACACGCCTATGCTATTAAGAACAAGCTGCGGCCAACAGGCACACTACATACCTTCGATCTCCGGGTTTGAGATTTCAAATTGTGGCAGTGTTTCTCCTCGGACTCAGGGATTTTTTTTTGTGGGGCCTTCAGGTTGTTGCGAAAGTTCATATCTCGCGAAGCAGTCCGGAATGTATGGGGTTGTCTGAGGGCTCAAGACGAAATGAACTGTCAATTCTGCACTGTACTGGCGCCAAACCATGGAACTCTGAGCAAATTTCCAGAACCCACTGAATCTCCTGACCAAACTCTCACGTCCCAGGCCTACATCCGGCGCGATGTATAAAGGTTCTCAAAAGAAGCTCCAAAGCAGAGCATGCAAAGAGGCCTCGCCAGTCTGGACGAGGAGCACCCTCGTTGTTGTACGTACAGCGCTCTGCCTGGGAGTTCCGCAGTTTGCGGCTGGAGCGGCCGGAGGGAGTGCATCTAGAAGTCAAAAGACAGGAGCTTACACATGAAGGTTTTGGGCTTGAATCACCTCTAGTCTTTGGCGGCTTGGCATTGATGCAGGCTGTTCACCAAACCTCTGTGCGCTCCATACTTCGGACGCAAGGGCCTGAGTCACTCAGCTTGGAGCGTTTCCAGAGTTCATGTGAAGCTTTGAACTTTGCCAACCCCTCCATTTTTTAGCGCTACCTCCCGCTGGGACTGACTAACTGCAGACATGCTTCCGAATCAAATACAAGCTCCTGAATGCCGACCGTCCCGTCTTGAAGCAAGAAGCTCCCTGGCATGCTTGAGGGAAAGCCGCTACACTTTCTGGGAAGACGGCACGTTTGGAAGAACGAGACGGAAGACGTCCACGCCTGCCGGTCTGCCACGGGTACATCCTATGACTAACTACGACTGCGCTGAGACGCGGCATTTTCTTGAACAGTGCTGGCTACTGGCTACCCTTGCAGCCATGGGCTAGCCCTCTCCAGATATCAGTCTCAGATCACCCTCTGACTGGGATGTAATCTTCATCCTTCGTGACAGCTTGCAATCTCAAAGTCTACATGGCAAGGGCAAGAGCAGCCATAATGCTCCAGGGCTGTGAAATTGAACAGCCCACCTCGGGAGACGTCGACGCCACACTCCTGGCCGGACTCAGGGCGTGGTAATGAAGTCAAGTTTTCCGCTCATTTGGAAATGTATCAGCCCAGCGTCTGACTCTTGTTCTTGTGATTGACTGTTTGGGGGCCCTGGCTCAGCCATCGTTAGACCTTCACACGAGAGGCTCTTGTCTGTTGAGGAGCTTGGTGAAGCCACTCTTTGGCCTCTGGCCTCCCTGTGACATTCCTTGTCCCTCATTACAAAGGCTCAGTCAGTACGGGTTGGTCAAGCTGTTCAACGCATTGTCAATCCATGTAGAACCGACGAATGGGAGCCTGGATTGTAAGCCCTCGATGAGAAATATTGCACGTAACTATCACGTGCTTGTCAAAACGCACGTCCGCACTGAAGTGGCTTTAGACTGTCATCCCCTGAAACCCGAAAACCGGAATGCCCCACAGCACAAGCAACATGGTGCTGTGGTGGTCAACTGCCTTTAACCCGCATCCTGGGCCTTCTGGGCCTTGGGGCTTCAGCAGCCTGACACCTCTGAACAATGTCTTCACCAAAGGCGGGCGGGCCCGTTCAATTCCGCAGGCCACATCCGCTTCAACGTGTTTGAGGCCTTGGGCACGCTTGTGGCATGGGGAAGTCTTGCTGCTCGTCGAACACGGGCTGCAGTAACACTTGTTTTGAAGAACCGCAGGGCATGAAGCATGAAGTGCACCTCGCCGCCCGGGCTGCTTCTTTGAAGCATGACAGAAACCTTTCCCCATGCCCTGCTCCGTAGGCAGCTGACGACGAAGCGTCGAAGGCGGCAGCGTCGCAGGACGACCATCGGACCTAGGCAAAAACTGACATCCTGCTTGTGACTAGACGGGCTGGGCTTGCATCTCCGAACCCTGCTGTCTTACCCGCCAGATTTTTTGTGTTGAGCCTTGACAGTGCGCGCTTGGAGGTTGAGGTGCTACTTTCCAAAGACGTGAAACAACAAGGCAGCCGTCTTCCGTGTGGTCCTTTCAACGAGAGATATTAGCATCATCGCAATCGGATTCGTACTTTCTGGGTACCTGTCGCCAAGCCGTCCAGCGAGAGTCTGTGCTGTTGAGGCAGAACAAAGGCAAGTAAAATTTGCAAACTGAAACTGAACATGTTCTTGATGGAGATTACGAAATTAGAATGGAGCGTCACGCTCATGTTTTGTATGGACGTTGCTATCCCCCTCCCGGCCCTACTCAAAACCCATCGCGTGATACCTGAAACATTGTGCTTGGTGACATGGGCAGGCATTTGGGAAGCCTTTCTGCACATTTTGGCCATATATCAAGCTGTAGAAAACAAGGAACTGGGAGATAACCAGGCCAGCTGATTGCTACAACGCAACATCGCGGAAGAAGAGTATGGGTTGCTATCTCTAGCAACTCTCTGGCGACAGGCATCAGGTGAGTTCATTGAAAGCAACACAGGTTACTGTGGGCCTAAAGCTCTCAGAGCGCGAGAGCTCACAAATCCCTAAAGCAATTTTTCGCTGGGACCCTGCTAAGCATTGCTAACATCTGCTGAGGGCCGTGCAGCCCGGGAGTGGGTAGCGGTGGACCGGGCAACTCACCCAGCTAGCAGAGACAGGACGTTTGGAGTTTTGAACGATTAAACAATGCATCGTAGCAGAGACTGGCCTCAGCATAGCTTCGCAGCTCTGCAGCAACCGCCTTCAAGCATTCCAGAATTGCATGGGATGCAGCTGTGTAGTGCTGTGAGGGTAAGGTCAGGTTTGGGCCTTCTCAACATCTTTGTACTTGTCTGGGGCAATGTGTCTTCTCATCCGAATTCACACTCTTTATCCTGAAGCCACATCGGTTCTGAAAACCGGAACCCAAGCCCTCCAAATTTAGGGTTCGTGTGAGTCTCCTGGCCATACCATGACTTAACCCCACATCATCCCACATCGAAACAAGATGTCACCGCCTCTCCGCGCCCATCTGGTGCTGCTCGTCGCTCGAAGTCATGCTCACGCTCGTCCTGAGCGCGGCGGTCCAAATTCCAACCCAATCTGCCGGCCTGCCGGCCTCAGGTGCAAATGGGCCTGCAGCTCTTGTTGGACGCACATCAGTCTAACTCAGCGGTTGCATGGGATTGCATTCTTGGTGGGTTCGCTGCAGCTCCCGAGAACCCGTGGCGGGCATGCCAGCGTCATGGGCAGCCATGACGAAAGACCATTCAGTAAGCCATTTGCCATAGACTCCATAAACCTTCAGGAGAACAAGCAGAAATTGTATCCTTGTGCAGTGCACCAGCAAGTAATGTCCCTGGTCTGAAGAATCAATGACTGACGGGTAAGGCGTTGTTGGCCTTTTACCCCCGGCGGCATCTTCTGAAAGACACAGGGACTATAACCTGAAAACTGCCCAATGCCCAATCTTTTGACATCAGGTGCCCGGTTCGGTTAGTCAAAGCAAACAGATTATGAGGCTTCTGCTATGTTAGCGGGATAACTCTAGTCTGGTTGCCTGGATCCGCAGTATGCACACATGGGTCCTATGGAGTATTGTCAGCAATCAGGGCCTATACAGGCACAGAGACCAGCGCCAATGGGCCAAACAGGCCTGGAATCTCAAACGGCAACACCACGGGTTCAACCTGATTCAAAAAGTCAGGGCCTTAAATCTTAGCAGTACGGCTGGAACCCCATTTCAGCAGGCCCCAACACACCCCCAAAGTTAGAGGCCTCCAGTCCAAACCTCGAACCATCTAGCCCGGGTCCTGCCAGGTTCGGTCTAGGCCGCGCCTGCAACTCCTACACTAAACGGAACAAGAGCAGCTGGCTAGATGTGGCTACCAAGCTTCTAGAGTACAGTTGCTGATCAAGAATCACGCGGAAGTCGCCCGACCAGCAGGCCCACAGAAACTAACGCACCCACAGCGCGCAGCCCAAAACATGGTTAGATTGTTCTCCATTCCCTGCACCCTTGCAACTAACTGCAACACCCGTGAAAATGAAAGTTTCTAACGAGTTGGACTGCACTCAGTGCCTGAGTGGTCGCCGGCCAGAGGACAATGATTCCTGCTGGATGGCTTTAAAAAGAGTGGTGAAAATGCAAAGTGCTGGAGAAGTGTCAATGGTAGATGATACTTTTGGGGTGCTCTCTCCAAGCCTGCACTAATCCCGCAGGAAAGCGCGTCACGAACTTCGGGGCCCTTCAAGTACGAAGCGTCGCTTCACAGCAGCAGCATGAGAAGCTTTTTTTCACAGGCGGCATGAGGCTTTGGGCAGCAGCGCCCGCACACCTGACGAAGATGACTCCATTTGGTCGTTCACAGGGACAGGGTCTGAGGCCTCGGTGGCCGCATAGAGTTCCAGGTTTAGGCTTTGGCTTGGGCGCGATCCCGCTGTACATGCTGCAGATTTTTTTCTCTGTCCAGAATCTCTTAACCTCCACCATTAGCTGGCGAAAGCCTGACCCTACCTCTCGCAGAAGCCCTTCACGGGCCTCTTCTCTGCTCAAGAGGTGACACGCTGGTAACTGGCTTTGATGTCGCCATCCTGCAGGAGCGAAGACTGCCAAGAAAACACAAAAGAAAAAAAGTTCTTTGCTCAACATGTTCAACAGCTTTTGTGGCGAAAGCTGGGTCCCATCTGTTCGAGCGCGGGGTCCCTTGCAACAGCGTGTTTTATCGGGAAAAAAGAATTGCCTTGACCAGGCCTGCCTCTGCGATGAGACGATGGGAGTGGTGGTGGCGGCGGCGGTGGTGGTGGTGCTGGCATAATCTCTATGGCCATGGTCAGCAGTCCAAAACAAGTCTGCAAAAACTATCAGGCGCCTCTCTGCAGATCTAAAACACCTGAACTCCGATTTCAAAACCATACTTGACAGCATGAAATCACCACCACAACCCCAAAGCCTTGAACCCTAAATCGAAAGTGGCATCGTCAAGCTTCCCGTCCGCCACCTTGTTTGGACCCTCCACGGACCAGTTCCATTCAAAGCTATCTGCAGAGCCCACGCGCAGCTGCCCACCTTCAATGGAAAGGGAAGCTTCCTCAAGTATCCAAAGATTCGGACATTCTTCGGAGGTTTGCAAACGTATGTGGACTCATACGGGCGCACTGCTGACGTTGACGGACTCCATTAGCTTGTCGGTCTTGAGAATGCAAACCTACATTGCTGTCTGCAGAGTTCCGTTTCAAGGCCTTCCTGCTTCGGATTCGCGGCGATTTTCGATCCAGGCTTGTTAGAAGATTCCGCGAGGTGAGGTGTTCTCCTCGCTAGCCTTGCAGAGCCTCGCAGAGCCTAGCAACCCAAGCGTTGATCCCTACCTACGCGCAGAAACCCAGGAGTCATAGATTTCTGTGCCAATGCTTTTGCATACCCAAGCACTGTAAAGGTCATCGACGCAGAGGTGCCGAAACGTGGCCAAGCTCTCTGGCGATCCTGCCAAAATCGCATCGACAACTCGACACTGCTTCAGAGTGTTTGAATCTGCTTGAAGCGGGCTCGACCAAGCTTGGACTTCACTTGCCTACGCCTCCAGGACTGGCCCTGAAACCCCAATGAGTAGCCAAAACCAACAACCACCTTCTTCTCACGTTCGTGAGCGGTCAGCATCAATCCAGGCTGGGGATTATTTGGGTCTAGGTGGCCCAGGCTTCTGCAAATTGAAACTGAGCAAAGCGCCCATCTTGAATTAACCGGTTTGGGCTCATCATGGCTGTGTGTTGTCATCCGTTGCCGAGGATCGGAAGTCTGAACCCCAACTCCGAGCCAGGTAAACGCTACACCAGGACGGGCCTGCTCCCTCAAAGGCTAGGGGCACGAAAAAGGAGGTGTGGACACTGAGCTCTGGCAGCAATGGCGGGAGGTGCTTCTTGGTAGGATCCTCGGTTATGTGTACTTTGAAATATAAAGCGGGCAAACGTCCACAGACCAGACACACCTAACAGGTGCTGAAACGCAATTCCTGCGCTTCTATCACTTCCGACCTCCCCACTTGGAACAGCCTAGTCTTGAATTCAATCGGGTCAACATGTACACTTGCACAGATCACGATTCCATAAGGAAACCTTCTCGGAAAGTTCCGACTGGACCAGAATGCTGCTTTGGTGATAGATTTGGGTTGAGACCTCTGTGCATGCGTTTCCCACACAGATGCATGTAGTCTAAGCCTCGGACATCTACGAAGTAGACCTGGCATGTGGCACATGCGTAAAGCTGACCAGCAGTCTGACAGGTTTAAACAAGAAATATCAGCGTCATCCTGTCCCACACGCATGATTTTCCATTCGGTGTCGGCATATCTACATTTCTGTAGCATTTGTGGCTGGCTAGCCCCCATGAGTCCCAAATGTCGACGAGGGCTTGGCATGGTCGGGTTGAGCTGCGAGAAGAGCTGCGACAGGCTAAAGGATTGAACGGCCTGTTCCAAAGTCTCGTTGTGGACTGGCGGCGCGATAAGGCATCTTGAAGAGCATAAGTCTAATATCATTGTGGTGCAAGTGCTACTATGGAGTGTCAACCACAGCCCTTACATCTCTGCAAAGCTCCCTGCCTCCACTGGCCAACAGCCGGTGTTGAAGCAGTAGAATCGGTAAGCCTGAATAGTGGAGGCTTGCTGCAAAGCCTACGCAGGCAGACAGTCGTTGGGGATCTTCGCGTCCTGTTTTGTCTGCGTTTGATGCCAATTCCATCTTCCCCCAGAAAAACCTCTCAAACTGGCCTCAACCGGCCGCGGGAAGCCCTCCAGCTGCATGTCACCCCGCTCCTCGTACATCAGGACCTGGGTGACAGAGGGCCCTGAGTTCGAGCCCTCGTGTCCAGGGCTCAGAACACCTTTTTGCTTCATTTGCCGTTTCTTGATCAAATATGCTGCAAGTCAGAAACATGAGCGTAAATCGACGCTCAAGATGCGTCTGGCCCTACCAGACCCAAAGCCCCTGTGGCTGGCCAGGAGAGAGAGTACTTGGGCCAGAAGCTGAAGGCCGACCAGGCATCATTGGCAGTGCAAAAGATACGGGCCCAGATTGAAAAAAGCTCAAGCTGGCACGGAGCTAATTTTGGTAAGCACTTCGCAACTTCCCAAGGTAACCCAAACTCTGAGGAACCTCTATCACGGACCCCAGTGCAAGTAGATGACAGGGAAACCCGCAAGCCGTTTCCTTTCGCTGCAGTAAGCTCCACACTCCTTGCTTTTCAGGGACATCCGTAATGGTGGCATAGCCCTCAAGGATACCGCGACCACCTGAAAACTTGAAGCCATCTCCATGTGCAAGGGATAAACATGAGCCCAGGCATGACAACCTAATTGCAATTTCAGCAGACACTAGAACCCCGGAACGACCTACAGCATGGCCTATCCTGAATCCGGCTTCACCTCTGCGGTCATTTGGCGAGCGTCCAGGTTTGTCATGACTCTTGCCAGGCCACCCGGCCGAGCCCATTCAAGGGAGGGTACACTTGACGGCGCAGTCTTAGCAAGCACTGCGAAACAGGAATGGTGAGCCCCGCGCATGTCTCACAAACAATGTCACGTCAAAGGCAACTCCCGAAGAAACAGATGTGCCATCTTCTCCTCCATATGCAACCCAAAAACCCAGGTGCCTAAGCTCTGACCCCCGCATGGTCTCTGCACCGCCTCCTTTCCGGTAGTCAAAGCTCTTGGAGACCGCCCAGCGACCGAGGAGGAAGCCTGAGCTCGATCTACTGGAGCTTGGAATTCAGAAGGTAGGAATTGGGCTTGATACCGTGGGAAATGGGAAGCGCAGAGACACAGCAGCAACACAAAATACGGAAGAGACGAGATCCATGGAAGAATACTGGGTGCAAGAGAGAGGAGATGCGGAGAGATGATGCGAGAGGAGATGCGCAAGACAAGGTTGCGAAAGATGGCAAGCCGAGACGCAGAAGAGGACGCAAGTGAGAAGATGCTTAGTAGACCATGGATTTGGGGTGTGGCGCTTTGAGGCTGTTTGCCGAGCGTCTGCGCACTGCCTCGCCATGTGCCAAGCGCGGCAGGGGCGAGAAGGCCATGGCAGGCAGGGCATGGGCTGATGGAGCGCTGGTGAAAAGAAACTGTTGAAGGTTGGTGCAGCTTCGGGGTTTGGGGTTCCAAGTCTTTCTTGCATGGGGCAACCTTGCCTGCTAACTACCGAGGACAGCTTGGGAAGCAGCAGGGTCTCTCAGCGGTTCTCAGCGCAATGCATCATGTTTACACGCAAGGCATTGTTGAAGGGCAAAAGAGTGAAGTTCTGCACGCAAGCGCTCGGGTTTCAACCCTAGGCCCTAGCCCTACACCCTACCGTATCGGTGATAAACTGCAGGAACGGCCACAACCTGCATGAGCTTTTGAGTTTTTAGTGTTGTCAGGCTTCAGGGCTCAGAAATGTGATGATAAAACTCACCCATGCCACCAAGATGTTTTACAATGCGACCAAGCGGTGAGCTTTTTGTAAGATCTTGGCTTGAGCCACAAGCATCTCTGTGCTTCTGGTGTCAGAAAACCTCGCCCCAGGCAAGATGTTTAGTTGTACAAAATCCTTCGTTCCCAAAGCAATTTCAGCCAAGGCAGCTCTTGCCACGCCACCTCTTCCTGCCCCAATGCACGTAACTTCTTCCCAACAACCTCAATTAATCAAGTGTCGAGACAGAAATTGCTGACCATGCGTGCCTCTTGTACTGCATCCTCCTGCGGAGGAGAATAAGATTCAAAACAGTCTTGGGGGATTTGTGGGGGCAGCTGGGAAGTTTGAAGCCATTCCTTCCAAGCCGTGGACAGACAGTCCATTGGATCTAGTTGTGTGGAAAGCCTACGAGCCAAAGCCTGAGGGGTGCAGAAATCAGCAAATGTGTGTTTCAAAATCTGATCGTTCTAAGACGTTCAACACCGACCTCCAATCTTTTGCCTATTCGAGTACAGGGGGTAGTCGACTGCCCAAGCGTCTTGTGAAGTTCTGGCACGACTCAGAACTGCCAACCCCAAAGACCTGGATAGTTGAAAGCAGCAGTAGCATCTCTGTGCTCGCAAGGGCACACTGGGCGCACCTCTGCAAACTTGGCCGGGCCCTCCATGAGGTGTCGCGAGCTGCGACGAGCAGCTGATCCCGTGCTTGTGCTGGCTGGCTGGTGTCGGGGCTTTACAGTTCTGGAGGGTGTGAGCGCTGTAAATGTAGAGACATCTCAACAGGAGAAGTGCTAATATGAACAAAGTCGTACTTTGTTGGGGGGCGGGAGAGTACCCTGGAGAGCTGACATGAACTTCAGATCATCCATCAGGCTGGGAATCTTCAGCCTCAGCCGCCTCAGCCTTGGCCTGCTTGATCCTTTCGGCTTTCGGCTTGCAGCACGCACGATGCCCGGCAAACCTACGCCTTTAGCTGGCTCGGAGATCAAAATTGCAGCAAAGCGTACCGCGCAATCATTCAGGAGCCTTGCCACCACAAACACTGCAACATGTTTGAAGCTCTCATGGCTTCTCTGCCTTTGCATTCGCCACATACCGTCTTCATCACAGGACCGCCATTCCTACATCCCACCTCCTCTAGTATAGTCAGAATCAAAGGCACGAAGTGCAACCTTGTAAACTTTTGCTGCAGGCTTCACATCATCGTCTGAAAGATTGCCATGGCGAAGGGCAGACGCTTACCTGTAGCAGCAGATGCACACAGAGATTAAAAGAAACAGAGAAAAGTACGGAGAGGGAGGGCGGGGAGCGAGAGAGGCAGCTTGCAGAGGAGCTTTTGTGGACCTGGGTTAGGGCAGGCCGTGCATACCCGCAAGGTCAGTATTTGCGCCCCAATCAATTGTTTCAAGCCTTGATTTCTGATGCATGACCGTCCTCGTTCACAATCAGAAGAGCTTTGCCTACCAATCTTTCTGCAAAGAAATTCTGATTCCGGAACCTACATCCAGACAGCAACAAGCGTAAAGATCAGCAGAACGCTTTCGCTTTTTGGGAAATTACAACACCACCTGCCCAACAGCACCCAATACATCCCCCAACATTACCGTGCCCCACAAAAGTAGCCACGTCTCCCTACAGTAGACACCCCAGCCACATGCACTCATAAGACTCGAGGGCTAGCTTACCTCAGCTTCAGAAACCTATGTGTCTAGTTTGACCTAGTCTAGAGAAGATCCTCTGGATCTCGACCCTGCAAAGCTCAAACAAGATCCGATCGAAAAGCCGCGCTTAGAGCCCACTCCAAATGTTTGGCTGATAAGTGAAGAAGTGAAGGGCCAAGGTACCTTCTCCATCGGCACAGACACCATCCACGGTAACGCCAACAGCTCCTCCATGAATTTGGTATAAGTTGGTATTTTGGCTCCTCAAAGCTGGTGGGGTGCAGGGGTGCAAGTGCAAGCAACAGTATCTGGGGGCTTTGATCTTGCAGAGAAGACGGTAGGGCTCAGGTTCCCGCGCCACTGTGATCGAATTTTGTCGAACTGCTGTACGGCTTCAGTTTCTGGTGGGCCTTGGGTTGAGAAAAGAATGAACTCCAGGCAGACTGTCTGCGCCTTGCTTCGCCAACACTCCGCATGCCAAGGCTAAATGGGTGGTTGTCAAAATTATGGTCCTGTTTTGGTCCCTACTATATTACGGCCCCTAATATTTAGGGTACCCAAAAAGGGACCATAATTTTGACAACCAACCAAATGGTCGGGCAACTCACATCATCTCCAGAGAGCCTGCAACTCTAGTCTTCCGGAGCAGGAAACAGAGCCACTGGCCTCCAAGCCATAATTCTCAGGAGCCCAACCCCTGAGCCCTGGAATGCCACCTTCTCCAACCACCAGGAGCAAGTCTGCCGCAGGAACAAAGGCCCACCTGTGATGGCAACGGCCGTTTCAACTCTGAGAAGGTTTGGGGAGTGAGGCTCTGAGGCCCGGTCCGATGCTTTAACTGTGAGAGTTTTTTTATGTCTGAGAAGTGCATACGTTGGCTTCTTCCCAGGCAGCAGGCCGGACAGATATCACCAAATTCATGACAAATTGAGGAATACTTGCTGGTTGCGGTCACACGTAGGCTACGTTTTAGCTGGAAAAAGCAGCCTGAGCCCCTGGTCCCTATTGCAACGCTGGCAACTGACCTCGACTGAAGTGCAGCCACCTCAACCCGAAACTTTGATGTTACTGCATCTGTGACACTCTGCTGGGGCGGCGCCGTGCTGTTCGGCGACCTCGATCGCTAGACTTGAAGCCATGTGAGGGCTTGGGGGTCGCACTCACTAGCGGCTTGACCAGAAATGTGAGAGCTGTGTTATCTGCACCATAAAGCTGGACACCTTCCTTGGCGCCGGACGTCTGCGGCTCCACGGCTCTCGGTCCGGAAGAGGCTAAGGCAGCGTCTTGCAGCAGATGGGTGGTTGCAGGAGTGCAGGCCCTTGGTGTTAGGGTTTAAACCTTGTGATTTTTGAAGCAAAGGTCAGGGTGCGGAGGTGACGGCTTCAGTGGACGGCCGAAACGTGAAAGATTGTAGCTTGTCACGTCGGAGATCATGGCCTGTGAGCCGTGAGCATGGCTGTTTCAAAAACTCTGCAGTTTGGCTTTTGGACTCCAGCCACCGCCACCGCACACGGCATCTGTAGAATTGCAGTCGGGCATCTGCAGCCCGATCATCCGACTTATGGGGCTGCTGGCTCCCAGCGGAGCATGCGGGAACCCCAAGCCAAGCAATCCCCTGTGCATCCAAGCCTGACATCCTAATCTTGTGCCAGAAGATGGAACCTTGAACTCCTCAAACCGCTTATCGGCCCAACTCTCTGCAAGGCTGCCTTGCAGTTTCAGCCTCCGCGCCATCTCCCTTCCTGAGCGCACTGAAGAGGATTTAGGGTCGTAGATGGCAGGGCTGAGAAAAGATGGACATAGATGGACCCGTCGGCCAGCTTGGATGAATCTAAAGCTCGGGGGCCATCTGCTGCAGAACTGCATGTCCTAATTTCTTGCGTACGCTTCTGCAAGAAGGTTTTCGGACAAAGCGGGCATTCTTAATCTCACATGTGGAGAGCTAAGATGATGCGGTCACATCTGAATCGGGGTGCTGACAACATTCCAGCCGGAACAGATGGAGCCTAGCGGAGCGCCCCGAGATCAAGTGATTGGTTGGATGATCACACGCCTAAGCACCACGCGGGTAGCGGGAAACCCAAAAATGTGTTGGGGTGCACCTATGGAGGCCTGTGGCATCGTAGCAGGCAAGGAAATTGATTGAAAAAACACCGGCTTAATTCCTCAATGAAAGCTTGAACTCAGAAGCTTGTCTGGATGCTCTTTGCCAGCAGCCGAAGATCGAGCCTTCTTCAACAGCTGGCCTATCCATGGTCTACTTGCAACATAAGCCTGGAACGACCTGTGACTGTGACCTCAATCTTGCGCCCCAAGTTCTCCAGCGGGTCCGCAAAGTCCCGCCAAAGAGCTGCGCAAAGTTTCCTTTCCATGCGGTCGGGGTGAGCGAAACCAAAACCACTTCACGCTTAGGGCTGCACGAGGTTGTAGCAAACATCATTCAATATCAGTTAGGTTGATGCTTCAGGCTGTGGACTGCACCATCTGATGTTGAGAGGTGAGAGTTGTCCAGTTCCAACAATCTAAAAATGCCTGACCCCGGCCTCAGCTCGGCATCTGACCACGGTGTCGCCTCAGGAAGCCACTGCAGCGTTATATGCATACATGCAGCTCTTGCAGCTCTCCTTCGGCTTCGTTCTGCTCATACGCAGTGTGGCGGTGGCGCGGTGGCGTGGTGGTACCGTGGCGGTGGCGGCTGCGGCGGCTACTTCGGCTGCTGCGGCTGCTGCGGCTCTGCGGCTGCTTGTATTCGTGCTGGCCACTAGGGCCTTGACACTTGGTCTTGAGGTTCGGGCAGAAGATCTGGGGGTTTCGGAGTTTGATGCTGAAAGTCCAGGGTAAGAGTTCAAGAGGTCAAAGAATGGCAATATGGTGCGCAGCACTATCGGCAAAATCATATCCTGTTTTGCTGGCTGGATGATGAGCTTCGGGTCTGTTGGTTGTGGCCGTGTGCAAACCCGACCTTTCTGACTGCCATACATCTGTTCTAAGATGTAGGTGTCAAGTGTTTTGCTCGACATGCAGACAAGCCTGAAGCAACAGCATGGCTTGTTGCTGAAGCTTTGAGGCCGCACATAGGCTCGCGATCTTGTGGCACGGCACGACGGAAATCAATTCACGGCATCGTATGCATGTGAACGGCATAGGCATCTGCAAGATAAGAGCTGTTGGGGCAGAGTGGGCGAGGCTACACCGAAGAGATGGCAATTCAGAAGCAGCTGCAGCATAAGCACCAAGACTAAGATCGCGCAAAAGACTGGCTGGCATGTGATCACGAAGCTGTCTGCTGCTCCAACCACGAGCGTGTAGAAGACGGCAGAGATGCATGCTGCCAAGTATCCACCCACCAACAGCAGGACGTTCCGCAGCAATCCTGGGCCTGTCTTTGCTACCGTACAGGCTGTGAAGCGAAGGATGCAAGGGGGCATACATGCATAGCTGAGTGGAGTTGCCAAAAAAGCCATCACTGTGGCTGCAGAATATTGCTCAACGGAGGGATACCCCATCTTCTGGTGCAGCGGCCATGTAACCCATGTCTGTGCACTGCCTGCTAGAACAACGGGCATGGCAAAAAGTAGGCAATGGCTCCATAACAACTGCGTTTCAATTCCAAGATCTTCAACCAGCATGTCCCGGAGGCGTTGCTGCACATAGTGATTAAATTTGTCAAGGCATTCGTCGTGGTCAAGATAGCTGGTGACGCGTCGTAGGGCACATCTTACAGAAGCAGGCAAGAACACCATGTCCCCCAAATCTGTCCCTTCCGCATCCGTTGGCCCTTCAGCTGAATCAATGGCCACTGCCAAGACAGGCTCCTCGAGTCCGTCGAACAGCTCGGCAACATGCTCCTCAATCCTAGTGCGGTCCTGCTCAAGTGAGCACTTCGCCAAACGTATATTGTAGCACTCCAAAGCTCTCAGCATTGCTTCGTGATCCATCAGCTTCTTAGGGAAAGTCTGAACGCTTGTCAAAATGAATGGCATGGCCGTAAACAAAGCAATCGAGGGCGCACTGGCCAGGTACAGGAGCATGCGGCTTTGACCATAGGAAAGTGGGCTAGCTGCGGCTGCACCATCGTAGCTCAAGGCAACCATGCCGAGCTGAGGTTCGTTCATCAGAACCAGGTAAACGGCAGTGAGCCGGTTCGTGGCGTAAGAGGCGAGGAAGCAGGCGAGTAACCAGGGTGCCATCCATAAGGGAACCAGGCAAAGCTTTTGAAGCCCGCGCAGCTTCACAAAAATGGAGAGCTCAAATGAGCACCACAGCCTCTCAAAGTACGTCTCACCCAGCAACACGAGCAGCTGCTCAGAGTTTGCCACTACGGCAGGCAGCTCCAGAATGCCGCGCGTCTTTTGGTCAAGGTCTACCTGATCGATGCACAGCCTGTCCAGCCACATGCTAGGACTCCACCAGCCGCAGGTCAACTGCTGCCCGGCAAAGAAAGTGATCAAGAAGACAAGCGTCGGCGCGTCCAACACGATCAGGAACAGGACATTCAGCGAGAGACTCAGTGGACCCAGAAATAAAAGAGCGGTCTGTGACAGAACCACGGCAGCAGCAAAAGCCTTCAGTGAAAGGTTGTAATTTAGAAAGAAGCACATGGCCAAATGCTTTCGGCAGCGGTCGTCTTCCCAAGAATGGCTCACAAACACATCAGGTCCCTTGGCCTTTTCTGTATCAGAAGCTTCAGGAGTAACGTCGGCAGTGGTGCACCAAACGCGGCCAAAGCGTGAAAGAACAGCTCTTGCGGAAGTTATGCGGCAAGATTCACCTATCACGTGTCTCGTCAAACGAGTCATTGCGGCAAGCCGTTGGGATACTGGCACTGCAAGACCGTCACCACCCCCAGCAAACATCAAAACAAATCTATTCCTTCGTCACACGTTAATCTTCACGGCCCCCATATTCCAGCAGATGGCACTGGGGTCCTACAAGAATTGAGGTGGAGCCTGAGGGGTTGACACACTAGCCTGCCCAAGCGAAACTTCGACTAGGATTCAAGTATATTCAAGTCATCCAATTGCAATACAGTACAGTAAGACCTGAGCATGCAAAGCCGTGATTCGAACCACCAACTACAACAACCCATCTACACAAGCCTTTGACAAGTGAAAGATAAGAGAAGGTAGAAGATTACGACTGATGCCCCGGAGAATACGATCTTCTTTGGGAAGGTTGGTTGCAAATTTCGGCTTGAAATTCTGCGTGACTCTCGAAGAACCACCATACTTGAGACCCTAAAGCTTGAGGAGACCTGGATCTCTGACGGCAGTGCAGCTACCTTTCTGGTGGATGCGTGCCCCGTATTTCATGAACCCAGTGCCTGAGAAGAGGTACCATAACACATTTTGATGAACACCTGTGGTCTGGAAGTGGTGCATGCAGGTCTTGCCTGCATTGATTCTGCTATTTCACCAGGGAAGCGACAATGGAGAACAAAAGATTCTGCTAACAGTCCAGGCGCTGTAGGGACCTGGGCCTCATTTGCCGAAACTGAAACATCAGATGAAAGGCAACTCAGGTGGAGCCTACTGTAGAGGTAAAAGTCTTGCCCTCAGCGCGTGTCGAGGTTTATTGACGAGCCCCTGACGAGAAAGGTCGGAATTTCCAACACACGAAGCACGCGAGTCCTCGGCATCACCATTCGGAAGGACGGCTCGTATAATCTTGCGCCAGCCTTGGCTGAGTCAGGGGCTTGCTTCAGAGATGGCATTGACAGCTGCCACAAGCTGTAAAGTTCTTTAACACACGATGAAAAAAGGTGGAAGTTATATCTCTATCCGCTATGGCCTTAAAGCTAAGCCAGCCCAGCTGCGCTTGGCCCAGGTTGACCAGTCCTGGTACAATCTTGTGGGTGCGGAGGTTGAGGGTTGGGAGGGCCACTCTAAAGCAGACTCTTGACACATGAACCCTGTAAACCATTGTAGTACAACAGACATCTCAACAACGAAAAGCCTGAAAGCGATTTTATCTTTCACGTGCCTTCTCTTTGATGGCGCCCAAAACATCGCCTCGGGGAGGGGCGCAGCCGGCGACAACACGAGAAAGTGGGAAATAGACGAGGCTTGCCTGCTGAGCTTTTTTGGGCTTACAGGGCTGAAGGGTGACTGTTTGTGGCCGTCTCCGCTGTCTGAAGGTTGCCTCAGGTCTGCAGGTCGGGGATCCAATGCAGGCACTGTAAGGGTGCTACCTTCTGGCTGCTAGTGGAGATTCAATATGTGCTTGAGAAAGTTTGTGTAAACGTGACTTGTACACTGGCCCTGCGTGACCCAAAGTCTGGCCTTCTGCCTTCGCAGTACAACGAGTCGCCCTTGCGAACAAGGTTCGTTTCGGCTGACGGCCATGCACTTGGCATTTCTTCATGAGCATCTGCCTGCAAGTCACGCAGTAGGGGAGCAGCACAAGCTAGCTGCAGCTCTTCGGAGAAAAGCCTCTGAATCCATACTGAATGCTGGAACACCTAGTGCAAGCCCACATATGCCAAACCTGGCGGGCAAAATCCCAAAACCGCCTCAGCTGCTGCCACAGCTGGATCTCTGGAAAGGATTCCCACACCTGGTGCCCATGACAGGTTTGGGTCATGATGCCTTTCCCTTTCGCTTCACTGCCGCTTCACAGCCTGGCCTTGCCCCAGGCTTGCCGCACACAGCCGTCGCATCTCTCACTCTCCAAGAGCCTCATGCACCAACATGCACCGGTGCCCTGTGGGGGGAGCTTGCGGGATGTGAGGCAGAATCTCGTGAAAGGAGTGTTGGACTTTCATCTTTGCGTTTGCGCTTCAAATCTGGACCATCAGGGGCCGTGGAACCTTCGCATGCACAACCTGCACCGCCGATGCTACAAGATACGCCTCAGATCCACAACGAAGGAACTTCAACCTCGAGCGAACTGCTTCTGCCTACGTCCCAACCCATAATTTCCATAAATCCAGGGAGTCTGAAACGCAAGCCCAAGCGTTCTTCAGGAAAGCTCCTTCGTATCCTACAACCTTTTTGTCCCAATTGGAGGCGCGTGTATCAGAATTAGCCATGGCTGTGCCGACTCGGCACGCGCACCGCGACAGCAAAACCAGGAACTGTGCCCGGTAGCGTTTGGGCGCGCAGTCGTAGGCGCTTCCTTCAATTGGGATTAGGATGCAGGATTTACTCCCAGGCCGAGAGGTCACCATTCTAGACTGGGCATGATAACGGCTCTTACCAGATTGAAGGCCTACCCGGCAAGCTCATCATACTGGGCTAATCATAAAATGGCGTCTCGGCTGAACCCAAACTAAGATTCTCAACTGGGAAGCGGTAACCGGAAGCCCAAGAAACCTCCACTCTGAACACAGTGCTGTAGAAGCGGGGGCAAAAATAATTCCTCCCTAGGCCCGATCACACTTAGTACAGCTTGGTCTTGATGTTCAATCTGACGGACATACTCACACTGACATGGCCAAGAGAAGTCAAGATGAACATGTTGATCAGAGGTACACGCGCAACCAACGCAGTTCTTTGCAGGGGTGTAACGGCACAGCCAGACTTCTTCCAAAGAAACCATTCCTTGATCGTGCTCGTCAAGCTGCCTACCATGGACATGCTTTGGGTGGGGGAGCTTGCCAGTTGCTTTTCCAAACCCCCAAACCCCCAGAGAGATGCAGCCACGCTTCGAATGGAGGGCTCGGCCAACAACTGCGGGGAGGATGAAAGCAAAGGACATCAAACCCTTTGGAAACGATCGTGCTAAAGCCATGACTGCTTCGACAAGTAATGCTGTTTGTGTAGCAGCGGTCCTACGCCTACAAGTACTGCGACTGCGACTCATAGCAATACTGACAGCGCTACTTCGTAGCGCAAGCATGATGCTACTTTACTTCACCATAATTGCCTCGGGCTCTCGAGTTGCTCGGGCACCTGATGAAACCGAACAGTAACTCAGGATTGGCTGGGTACCGTGAGCTGCTCCAACCTGTGAAGCTCAGAAATCTTTAGCGCCTTCTTTTGAAATTTGGAATCTGGGCTGCGGCCCAATCATGCGCCACCAAGTTAACCAAAAATTGAATCGAGGAGGCAGGTTGTCTGAACTCTGCACTTCTTGAGGAGTGTGGTCATTTGCAACAAATGCCGGCACTTGCCAGACACCAGCTGGCAGCTGACGTAGATACAGTCACGTACTTGGCATGATCCACAGACATGCATTTTCAATACTGTACAATTTTCTGCCGACAGCTATCAATCAACACAATCAACCACGGCACGAACCAATCACATGACTTGGGGCAAACACAGCCACCAGACACAGAAAGGCAACTTGAGTCTTGTGTCTTCCACGCGCCTAAACACAAACACCTGGACAAGCTTCGTAAGGAAACCCATCAAGCAGCTTGAAAGTAACCGATCCCTGGAGCGACGCCTTGAGTAGGTCAGCCGAGCCGTTTAGCCAGGCCTACGGCGAGCTGTGTCCAGATGGAATATCGTACCCCCTCTGGACACTCCTAGTCCAAGCCAGATGGAAGAAGATTCTTGTGTCCAGTCCGTACTTGCAAGGCTCACCAAGAGTAGAAGCTGGCAAATGCATGGCAAATCCTCTTGCAGACCTAAACTCCACTCGTGCACCCTTGACCCCTACCGGCCCCTACCGGCCCCTACTGGCCCCTACTGTGCTTAGTTTCCACCTTTCGCACCTGAAACCCAAACCCCACAACTTCATACTTCACAGCCCATGGTCGCCTCAACGAAGGCCTCCGGCAGTGCGGAAGGAAGCGCCCAACCGCCCTCGCCAGGCGGAAGTCCTGGGCTCCGGGTGCACAGCGGGTGCACAGGGTCTGGAAATCTGTGTGGCAGGTCTTGGGTTCATAGGCGACGGCTCGATATGAGGGATTCAAGTGAGGGATGATGGTGTAGACATTCTTCGGGTGCAGTAGAGATGTGATGCTCTAGATGCCCCGCTGCGGGCGTTCCCAACCCTTGACTTCTGGTGCATACTTCATATGTCTGCTTGAATAGGATCAAGCTTGTGAGCCCCCCTCTGCTGCCACTCGAGAAAAAAGTGAAAAGAACCATGACCATGCACGTTTTTGGTCAGCACACAAGGATTTCCTGACAGAGTTGCTTGCAGTAACGTGCACTAGGATGGGATGTTTCGGCGAATACGCAGCCGGCAAAGCGATTCAGAGCACCTGCGCTGCATAAATATTGCAACATCTGCCATGCTCTGTCTAACATCAAGTCCATCCATTTCTTGTTGTGAAAGCAAAAATCTTTGAAATCAGTTTGGTGCCTAGCCTTTCAGCATCACACGGGCTGGCATGTGAGCTTTCATTCACATCCTTGCGGCTGGCACTCAATCAGAATACGATTTTGCTACGAACAAAGGCACAACTTGACACACAATCATAGCCAGCCATGTACCAACAGCAGCAGCAGCAGCAGCAGCAGCCCCACCCGCCGTTCCAGGAGAGGGAGCCATAATCAACCTCTGCTAATCAGACCAAGACTTGAGAACACGATATTCGTTAGTGAAGGGTCACAATGCGTTTCGGTGGTCCAACGCTACATCACTGGATCTGAGGCATCATAAGCTTCAGGACCCTCAGGATATGAACAATGTAGGGTTTCTGCGGAAGCCCGCAAACCTTAGACCGGAGAAAGCTCCACCCTCCCAAAGCTCCACAATTTATGGCGTGGAGCGAAGTGAGGACACGGCTCGCTGCCGTGCCGTGGAAGGAACGGCTCCTGCAGGCTTGGGTTGCCGGTGGTGGTTCCAACTCCCGTGCCCAGAAGCTTCATGCAACTGAAAAATCCAAACCCAGATAGGTTACACAAGGACCCAAACGGTGCAGGATCCATCCGCTGCCTTCCATGTTCAGCGCCAGCACTGATGCTACTAATCTC